ACTTATTATTTCTACTTACTTATAATTACTTATTATTTCATAAATATTAAGGTATTTATATTTCAACATTAATATATTTTTCATAAAACTATTGTTACACTATGTACTATTACTTTAATAAATGTTCAAAATCATAAAATAAATGTACAAACACAGTATCTAATAGAGTTTTATTTTAATTAACAGAAAATTACTTTTATTGGGGTCGATGGAGATTTCGAAAAATTATGTAGGGGTCGATGATCAAAAAAGTTTGGCAACCCCTGATCTAGAGCATTGTTTCTCAACGGGGGCGATACCGGGGGATGTGAAAGTATACTGAAGGGCGCTAAATTTGTTTTAGGTGGTAGGGGGGTGATCAACATATTTGGTCATTCAAATTTATTAACTCCGAAATAAAATTACTAAAATGAGATTAATTTAATAAATAAAATTAATCTAAAATTATAACATTAAAGAAAAAAAGATTACATTAATGTAACAAATTAAGATTATCCGATTCAGCATTTGTTATCAGCCATAAAACGAACTTAAAGTGACACCCATTCTTCAACACGAAGCCAAGAGTCAGTTGTTTTTGCCACATTCAAGCTATTTGGAATCAACTGGGGACGTACAAAATGAGCCGCTACAGATTCGCATCGCAGTATGATGCACTGCATCTAACAGCTTCAAATTTGAGGCAGTTGCAGTGCCATAGACTGCGCAAGCGTAATCTATGCGTGATAATATCAACGCTTTGTAGATTCTGATTAGAGCGATGCGATCCGCAGCCCAGAAAGTATTTGAGAGAACACGTAACAAATTTAAAGTTTTTTCACAACGTTTTCTAAGATAAAGAATATGGGGCAGAAAAGTGAGTTTGTTGTCAAAAATCAAGCCTAAATATTTTGTTTTCGAAACAGTAGGCCCCCCAGGGGCACACTCTTGTATGACGGGTACGGCGCACCCGGGGCCCCGAGCTGGTCCTGTTTTGAGTTTCCGACTTTTTATCAAATATTTATATTGACCTAGTGAACGAATTTTATTTCATTACATTCAAAAACACTGTTTATCATTTACAGATTATAGATCTTCAGATTTTTGATTGTGTTTTACTGTTTTTGTCCAGTTTCCTGATTTATCATGTTTTACCTATTTATTTTAAATAACCAATTTTTCCCTAAGCTTACAGACTAACAACGTTAGCTTTTGCTGACCAGCACGTTTGAACATTTAAGTAGAGTTACATTTTTCCTATCGTCTTGTTTACATACTTCAAATCGTCATGTTTACATACTTCCTATTGTAATGTTTGCATTCATGACGATTTGAAGTATGTAATCATGACGATAGGATGTTTGTAAACATGATGGTAGGAAGTATGTAAATATAACGATTTGAAGTATGTAAACATGACGATAGGAAGTATGTAAACATGACAATGTGAAGTATGTAAACAGGACGATAGGAAATATGTAAAACACGACGATTTGAAGTATGTAAACCTATGGCAACACTTTACATTCTTTCACCATTAGCGTGTGGAAAATCACTGGAGAAGGAAGTACGTTAGTTTTTCACAAGATTTTCAAATACATTAAAAACCTCTAAGTTAGGAAACTACATCGAACAAAGTTCTAAAAGAAAACATTGTAGAAATTTAAAAAAAAAAAAAAACATTATGGACAATTAAATACGAAAAATATTAAGTAGTAGTAGTTGTAGTAGTTAATTTACGTCGCACTAGAACTGCACAATGGGCTATTGGCGACGGTCTGGGAAACATCCCGGAGGATGATCCGAAGACATGCCATCACAATTTTGATCCTCTGCGGAGGGGATGGCACCCCCGCTTCGGTAGCCCGACGACCTGCGCGCGAAGTCGAGCACTTTACGGTAGCACAGTTTAACGAGGACCAATACCGCACACCCTCGGTCCCTACGCAGACTGATCCAAGTGGTCACCCACCCGCACACTGACCGTAGCCAGTGATGCTTGACTTCGGTGATCTGCTGGGAACCGTGTCTTAACGATCAGTCCACTGCGGGACGAAAAATATTAAGAAAGGGGAAAATATCATAGTACTTTCTTATACAACCGAGAGACATTGAATACGTCTTCTCCCCAGATGACGTATTCAAGCATTGTTATCATGAACCTTGGGCAGAAAAAATTAAAATACTTAGTTATGGAAATTTTAATCACAACTTAGAAAATAAAATAATTTATGTCCATTGAAATAGATTTTTAAATATGAACATACAATTACAAAAGAGTACCAGTCCTAATAAAAATAACCACAGGTGGAAAAATTCAAACACAATATTTTTCTCACCTAAAGAAGTTGAATTTAGTTTATTACCGTTCCATAAGGCAGAATTTATAGATGAGAAGAATTAATGTACAAACAATATTTGCTTATGCAAATTGGAGAAATGTGAACAAAGTGATTTCATTAGAGAGCTAATATTATATCTCTATACCTAGTTTCAGGTTAAAAAGTTTTCACTTTAAAAACTATTTTAAATTCTAAGTCTACTTCCCTCACTTAAAAACTAAAGTGAATCACATTTTACTTAGATGTGAAAAACAACTTGCATAAAATATCAATAATTTGAGGTTGAAAAAATATTTTTGTGGTTTTTTGTTGTGAAACCCTTTTTTAAATTTATTTTTGACTGAAGCAAAATTTTTTATGAATCTAAAAAAATAAATAATAGTTGTTGTATTAATAGTTGTAATGATTGAAAAATTTTAAAATATGGGATAGCAAGCAGCATTTAAACAAGGCAAATAGAAGTTAAAGCGCAATATTTTTTAAAACTAAAATAAATAAGATTAATAATTAACGAAAAAAAAGCAGAACGCTTGCAATTTGAATCATGTTAAATTAAAAACTCAAATAACCTGAAATGAACAAATTTATATTTTTATTACAATATGGTGTCAGAAAAAGCTAGTGTTTAAATTCAAGATCATTTGGGTCTAATTGTTTAAACATGAATTCACAAACACTATTTACAGTTTATCTATAGACAGAACTCCCCTTACCACAAAGTCTAAGGTCGTCTGCTGCTATGGAAACGAGAAATAGTGCATTTGAATAAGGGGTTTTCTTTCACCCCCGATTTGCTTCCTGTCACCGAACCCAGTCAAAACATATCGTAAATAGTGACTCAACACCCCTACTTGAAATAGTTAAACCTCGTAACCAGTCACCGCCATTGCACCAGACAAGTGGCTAGGGGAGTTCTTTACATGGACAAACTATATATAACCTAAGAATGAAGCGGCAGCTTTATGACACAATAGGCTGATATTGGTTATGGAAATGAAAGCATACAAGTATAAAATTAAAAACACGTTAATTGGAATAGATTGCAATATACAGGGGAGAAAATTTCTCCCGAAATTTACAAAAACTTTAGAATTTGAGTAGAAGGGATACTTGCATCCTCATGAAAATCTAATGAAGACTGTCAGCCTTCTTCTTTTTCTTTTTTAATAAACAATGCTTGTTTCATAGATTACAAAAGATGTATTACTTAATTTAATACTAAAATAATTTTTTTTCGGCTCATAAGAAGATGTAGCGAAAAAGAAACAAAAGTTTTACAAGAAAATTTAAGAATTATAGTACGCTCAAAGTTTTTTCTTTCTAGGGCTCACACTATATTTAATTTAAATAAAGAATCTTTTTTTTTCCCCAGTTATTTATACACTATAGTTTTAAAACACTAAAAAATCTTTTTGGGTTCAAAATAAATAATATAATAATGAAATAAAGACCTAACAATCAAAAGTTACAACTTAAGGATAGGATTAGCTAGCAGATGCCAGAATTAAAGTAGTCAAATATGAAAACAAGCAAATATTCATATATATATATATATATATATATAAAAGAATCAAAGACAATTGAAACGGTTAATTAAAAACGAAAATTTTTATTTCATTTACTTTTTATTAAATAATTACAATTTTTTCTCCCATGTAAAACTAAAATTAATTCATTAAATTTAATGAATGAATTAATATTTGAAAAAAGTGTATTAACATGAAATGTCATTCAGAACAACCTTTAAAAAAATGTACTTGAACTTGAATGCATAAATAAAAAGTATTTTATTAACGAAAGAAAATTTGAACAAGATATATAAATATATATATATCGGGAGAGGGTGAACTAATTGTAGGACTTGGAGGAAAAAAAGGTGCGTGGTATCAGATAACTATAAAAGTATAAATTGGATGACGTGGACCACACCTGCTACCACGTAATGATCTTTATTGAATTTATCTGACACAGAGATAGAAGACAAAATATTTAAATGTGTGCAATAAACTGCTTTTTTGTTCAATAAGAGCTATAAGTTAGAAACTATTGCTGATGTTATCTTCGAAATATGTGAAAAACTGACATTAAAATTTAAAACAATGAATAACGCTTAACCCATTAGCAAATTCTATTTCGTTTTTCGCTCATCTTTATTTAATGAACGAATTAATCCTTAGTTAATGAACGAATTGAAAAAAAACTGTATTAACATCAAGTATCATTCACTACAAGTTTCAAAAAATGTATATTTGAACTTGAATGAATAAAATGTATTTTATTAATGGTTTAAAATTATAGTAGGAATAGAAAAAACCTCCTTCTGCGATGATATAGAAGGCAAGCTATGAGAAAGGGAAAACAGACAAATTGCATGAATTTTATAACAATAAATAAAAGAAAGGGAAAAATTTTGATTATCTAAGCAGATATTCTATTGCTTCATATCAATGGGGCTCTAAAGAAATAATAAATTTCTTACATCATTTTATTTTCCTAACATTCTTCACCGGCTAATAACATATCATCTAAATTTCATTATATAAATTTGTTGAAATATATTTTTCAAATTTCTTGTTGGCCTTGTTGGTTTCTGTTTTGCCAATGTGTTCTGCCATTATGTTAACATATGGAATGAATTAATATGAAAGACAAATCTGAAAACATCACTCATAATACTGATCATTGGAATAAAGCACTTTACTAATAAAACAATGGAAAAAAAAATACTGAAATATAATGTAATTTTATAGTAATTTAAATACATTTATTTTATTTCACCAGTTTGACTAGATTATTCTGTTTACAGATGAAGAACTGAGTATTAAAAAGTTCACATAAACAAGTTTTTAAAATATCACGAAAAAAAAGGTCCAACTTATTATTACAATAACAAACAAATTTTCATTGTGTTCGAATAAGCGAATTCGATGACGTTCATGTTTAGAGTTTGATACAGTAAATTCAAATAGCAGTTTTGGAGTTACTGTTTCTTATTTTTAATATTTAAGTCTAAAAACACAATATCATTCCTCTAAGTTCAAATTAAAAAAATAATTTTGTTTTTTACATATGATGCAAAATGATAACAAAATAAAAGTGTTCATATGAAAATTCTAAGTTAACTGGGGTGGGGGGGGTACCACAAGGAAAAACATATGACAAGGGGTACCTTAAGTTTGGAAACAACTGAATTTTACTATAATTGATGGTATAATGCTTTAAGCACCAAACTTGGTGAGAGAAAGCCTAGGGTAAACAGAATTTTAGCACCATTATTCTTTCAAATGATCGCTCACACTTTGAAATAGGATGAAAGCAAAATGATCAATATATTTTACTTTCATCATGATATAACATCATTTAAGAGTGGAAACTGGATAAAAATAATTACTTAAAAACTGACTGTACTTATAATAAGAAAAATTTATTCATTCTACAAAAAGTGTTTTCAAAAGTGCAATTATATTCATAGACAAAAGTACTTCATCTAGTGAGGTGAGTATAAAAAAAAAATAATACAAAAGTATGTAATAAAAGAATAATATTTCTTACATAGATATACAGACATAATGTTTCTTACATAGATGGGCATGGTGGGCCTTGGCCCTCTATGCTATAGAAGCAAAATTTGGAGCAGACAAAATGGCAAAAGAGGATGCTGTACTAAGAGAGAAGCTTTCTATCACAAATTCTCATCTTCAAAAGTAATTTAAAATATAGAAGAAATGAATCCAGACAAACCTAGAGTAAGTCATTCAAATACTGAAAACAAAATTTAAAAATAAAAACAAAATCAGGATTACACTTTGCATTATGATATTTTAATTTTTTTTTCTCTCCACCAATTCAAACGTAAGGCTTATTCTATGTTTGCCTAAACTTATTTCCCTACGGGTGCGTAGCCAAATATTACAACCAAAAAAAAAGCACCTTTTTAGCACTTAAAAAATATATTTAAGCACTATATAAATTAGCAAAATAATTTTCTAAAACTTTACATGATCATGATAAAATAACTAGTTTTTGACAAAGAACTCTTTTTCTTGAATATATTATCCACCATAAAAAGATCGAGACTTTTGGGGCTCGATTTCAGAGGGTGGAAAATGAAGACTGAAATTGAGAATATTTTGCAAAATGCAGCAAAGTTGCACATAAAAGTGCAATAATCTTATCGAACCCACCTCAGTAGACGCACGTGCGGACTCCCAAGTATTTCATCAAATATGTAACATGAGTAGCGCTACCATACGTTAAGGAGAACCGAGGTTAAGCCGAAATGGATGTTGGTGGAATGAATTGTGAAAGCGTTGAATAGAATAATGTGAAAACCACACTTTTGCATAATACACAGCGAAAATCGACATGGTAAAGAAAAAAAAAATTCTTATTTTCGAAACGGGAAAATTAAGCACTTTTTAAAAGTGCTACGCACTATGTTTTCTTTACTATGGAAGTAAATTAGAATTTGCAAAGAAAAGTTTCCTCCGTGATATAGCCTTCTCTTAATTCATAATTTTTTTATCAAAAAGAATTTTCCACAAAAAGTAACGCAGGACATCAGGTCTTACAAAATCAACTAGTGCCGATTTTTTTTCTTTATGGACTTAATGAATTTTACCTCCGTAAAAAAGTGACTTCTGTGAAAATTTGTTTGCCAATAATGTATTAATTTATATAAATTTCTAAGAATTCCATAGGATATAGTGGAAATAAGTTATTCCATAGGATATAGTATAAGGGCAAGTAGTATACTGATAATAAGTTATTTTGATGTCTTGAATCAAAAAAGAAAACCTTATTTAAATGTATGAAGAAGAAGTGAGCAAAATTTAAATAAGACAGTGATTCTGATTGATTTTGGAATATATTCTTGACACCAGAATAACATATGATAAAAAATTAATAATCAAGTGTTTCTTGGGAACATGTGAAATCCGTGTAACCTTTTAAATCAAACCCTTATGAGCTTTTCTATTCAAACTGAATTATAAATAAAAGGTTTACCATGAGCAAATATTAAAAAGAATAACAGATTCAAATAAACAACAAATTAAAATGGATAAATCTCATAATTTGATAACCGAACATAAAGTAAAATAACACACATAACAACAAGTTTAAATCAAACAGTCTGTAATTTTTAAAAAAAAATTCTAATAACAAAAATAACTACACTTTTTTTTCCTCCAGTTTTGTTACACTGAAGTATCATCAAAATATTTGCACAAATAAAAATAAGGTTTAGTTGAATATTTACGTTATCTATTAGAATGCGATAACAATAGAAGCGATTGATTTTTGCAAATACTATGAATTAAGCAATATATTTTCATAATAGTTACAAAAATTAACTCTTTTATGTGCTTCCATTTTATGTGAAAATAACTAGTTAAAACACCTTCTCCACAAGAACAGAAAACAGAGCAATATATAATTTTTTTTTACAATTCTATACTTATTAATAAATGCATTTTCACATCTATTTTTATTTAAATTTAAAATAAAATTTAAATTCATAATAATGAACAATTTATGATTGCAGCAACACTATCATTATTATTTGAAGTTTGCCTAAAGTGGTTAAGGTGAAAAATGTTACAAGTAATGTAGAAGTTAATTTTAATTATAAAGTCAATATGTCTTTTTTAAAAAATTAATTATTTTAACAGGATATAATTAGAAAAAGTTTATGAATTTTCTACACGACAGTACTTAATTTTATGAGCATTTATAATGTTACACAAATTACAGAAATAAATAAGTTTTACAATTCAACAAAAGAAATAAATTTTAAACAAAATAGTTCTTTACGATAATTTTTTGTAATAGGGATGTCAACTTGATATAAAAATTTTCTGCACCTGCAGAATAATTTTCCCAGTGCAAGAAGATAATTATAGTAATGTTAGTTATTACAATGTGCAAAATGAAATATCTTTTTTATACTTAACAAGTTTTATTTCCTTCAAACAATAAAATAAATCTCAATCTTCATTGATTGATTATTTTATATGGATGGTGTTTTTAATATAAATGTAAAAAACAACAATCGTGAGCTGTTCTACTTCGGGTTAAAAAGCATACAGCTGCCCTACTCTGATGGGCGACGTTTTCAAACTGATAATTTTGTTTTTAATAAAAGTAATAAATAATGTAATTTCTGAGTTCGAATCTGCTGTATTTCGTAAGATAAGCAATTCTGGTGAGCCTGAAGTGAAAATTTATTTTAGTTATTTACAAATGTAGTGTTAAAAAAGGTGACATGGTTGCAAGATTTAGAAAGAACTCGCTTTTTTGGCAGTTCTGATTTGGCCTCTTTTTACTTGTTTATTATTGTTCATTCCTGTTGCAAGCCATACACAGGGCCAAATCTTTCAACAAAAATAAGAACTTTTTAAGCCCTCAAAAATATTTTTAAGCACTACATAACCATACATATACATAAACAAAATAATTTTCTAAGACTTTAAATGATCAAGATAAATTAACTAGTTTTTGACAAAGTACTCTTTTCTTGATTATATTAGCCATCATAAAATGATCAAGAGATTTTTTGGTTTGATATCAGATGGTGGAAAAGTAAGTCTGGAATTGAGAATATCTTACAAAATGCAGCAGAGTTGCACATGAGAGTGCAATAATCTCACCGAAACCAGCTGACCTGCAAGTATTTTACCAAACATGCAAAAGGATTGGTGCTTTCATGCGCTATGGACAGACCGTAAGCCGAAATGGGTTGTGGTGGAATGAATTGTGAAAACATTGAATAGAACAAAGTGAAAAGCACACTTTTGCATAATACGCGGCGAAAATCGACATGGCCAAGAAAAAAATCTCATTTCCGAAAAGGGAAAGTAAAGCACTTTTTAGAACCACCCAATGAAAAAAGCACCTTTAAGGGCTTTTAAATAAAGAAAAATCGAAAATAAGGACCTTTAAGAGATTTTTAAAAACACTACGCACCATGATGCAACATCATATGCCAGTGTTAGCATATTGTTCAAGCATCAAGATTAAGTTTATTTTACAAATTATCATTCGGGATTAAGTTTCCAAGTAGATATATAGTTGAGAAAGTAAGAAATGCTTTATAACAATTCTTTTTTCCCAAATGACTATTCTTATGTCTTGAAATGACAAATCTTCAAATGACGATTCTCTCTTTTTTAAACACAAATAATAAATCAGGCAAAAAATACATGTATACAAGAAATACTACTCAAGGAAGTCTCAAAATACAATGATCACGTTGTGAGCCAAATGGCTTCAAAATACACCGGAAATAGTAACAGGGAATTATAAGCAGTAAAGAGATTGCAGCGCACCCTAGTGTAGAAAACACCACCCATTATTAACGATAATCCTCCATAGCTTTCAAGTATAAAATAAAATATCTAATTGGTCCATTTGTGTCACATAATGAAATCTGTTACATAACTGTAATGTAACATCTAGAAAGTATCTGTCTACTATTATTGCTTGTTATTATCACAATAGACATTTAACATGCTAATGAAATATCAATAAACATTGCTTTGAACAAAACTAATAATAATATACACACAGCTAAAAAGTATAAAAAAACAAGGCTCACTTAAAATAGTTGAATCATATTAAGGGGCAAAAATAGTTGACATCCCTGAATTTATAAATAATTTTAATACCGTTTAAGTCACTTTGTACACTCAACACAATACAAATTTTGAAATCTGAAACAGAAAATAATCAATTAATAAAACAATTTCCTTGGTATTTTAATTCAACAATGGCTATTAAATGTAGGTAAAAGATAATTACGGAGTAAACATAAAACAATGTCAAATAATTGAATCTATCCTTTTTGATCAAGAAAACTATTGTTTCAAATATAACAGAATGTGGTAACCAATGACCTTAATTTAACTTATACAGTAAAACCTCGCTGCAACAATATTTTGGGGACCCAATAAATGTATTGTTATATCTAGAGCCTACATACTTTGGGGACACAATAAGATTTTTTTTCTTCCAATTTTAATGTTATATAGGTATTAACTATACTATATAAAAATTAATTTGCTGAGTGGTAATCATGGTTAAATATGAAATCAGATAGAAATGTTACACCTGTGACTTATTAAGAGATAAAGAAGCCATTTCTAAGAATGGAAGGTCTTGGGGTGGTCTATGTACACATCAAGATGGAGTATTGAAATCGGAATACAAAGGTTGTGGGGAAAAGAAATAAGATAAGTACATAATCAGCATCAAGACTTCTCTAGTTAGAAAAAACTAGAAAAAAAATGGCAAAAAGATTTTTTACATTATTTGAAAACATATAATAAATAAGGAAAATAAGGTTGAAATTTGAAGGGGAAAAAAAAAATCATTTTACAAAGGTTTATTGCTTCAGAGAATATCCCAATATTGATAGGTGGATAACATTAAGCAAGTTTGTCAGGAAACATAATTATAATATTAGATATTGTAGTAGTGAAAGTTCACTGTATATGAATTCCCCCCGTTTGCTTTCTAATTAATCCTGCAAATTGACACAGTAGTTTTCTAATCACGAGACGTAAATCATCAGTATTCATGACATTATTTCAGGTATTGCATATTCTATAATTATGTTCTACATAGTAGGGGAGGGAAGCCGCAGCCTTTGGATAGCCAAGGAGTGGGTTCCTAGTTATTTAGTTAATTTTTCCCCATAAAAAATTAAAACCCTACCATAATAAAAAAAAAAAAATTTCACATAGAAGACTAAGCGTGAAATGCTTAAAATGTTTTTAATACAAAAATATTATGCATAGCTTTGATATTTTTTACTATTAAGTTATTACAGGGTTCCCACTCAATTTTAGAAAATTTTTTTTCCTGACTTTTACAGAAATGAAAATCCATACCATATTTTATCTATACTCTATAATTTTTCTTCAGAAAACTTTGATTTTTTTTCATTTATAATGTCAAATATTAGACTGTGCGAGCAAAAACATAAAATAGAGTGAGAATGGAAACAGGGAAAAGCATTACTAAAAAGTGGAATTTCATGAAATGATTGTAATAGATGTCAGAATTATTTAACTTGAATCCCAATAACAGATTACTGTCACTGGCAATTCTAAGACTGGTTATTTTCCAGATATGATGCAGGAATTTCCTAGAGTTTTTTTTAGTTCGAGAGTTTCTAAAATAAAACTCCCTGACCCATTATCATATCCAGAAATAATCAAGTAATTATTAATCAATATAAAAATAAAATCATTGTTGCTGCTAAAAGCTTTCCCAAAAAGGTTGTGCACCCCTACTATGGAGATCCTATTATTCTACACTTAACAGTCAGAGGATAAAATCAAGTAAATTAATTAGGAAATATCAGAAGTCTAAATTTTGATTTAAAGTAACAGCCATCACTGAGCTTAACTTAAAAGCTATTACTTAACAGAGTTTTGTACTAAGAATTGTTGTACAAATATGTAATGGCATTGTGTACAAAGATGAGGTAATGGCACACAAAATACTGAGAAATTTGTTTCCTAAAAAAGCAAATCATAACCGGCACAGGCAAAATAATAGTGGCAGAAAGGCACCAATGGCAATGATTATAGGTAACATTGTACTAGAGTCCTCCGTGTCGTAGGGATTCGGACTTCTAGGACCAGATGGATGACGAACGGGGGAGGATTTTTTTTCTTGTCGTACATCCTCTTCTTCTTCTTCCTTTTCTTCTGGGGCTGTTGAAGGCAACTCTGGAACATCTAAAAAGGAGTATTCCACAGTAAGATAAAGTATCTGCACACAGCAGTTAACTATTTAATATTTTTTATTATTCCTGACAAAAAAAGTATATATATATATAAATGCATGCACATTATGGACATAAGAGAAATATTAATAGAACTACATTCATACAAAGTATTGCTAATCTTTGCGCTACAGTGACTTTTCTCTTTGAGAGTAGCATGCATATAACTAAATAAACACTGACTTTCTTCTACCTTGCATAAATCATGATTACAATATCTGCTTGATATTTTCTTTTTTAACTTTTTTTTTTGTGTGCACACTTTTTATTTGTATTACCAGGGGTCTGTTTAGAAGAAATTTGGCTTTGTTGTCACAAAACATCTTTTCATAAAAACGGACCCTTCACAAAATATCTTTTCATAAACACGGAACCTTCACAAAATAATTTATCTTTTAATCGGACGGACCCCTCACAAATTTGTTTATCTTCATTATTGTTTTGTTAATTGAATAAATCCTTCCCGGGGGGAAGAAAGACAGATGTAAACGAACTAAGTTTTGACTTCGGCAGACGCTTCTTCCTTTATTTGTCTGAAATGAATACTCCCCATTCAGCAGTATAGGCTAAATGCCAAATATTTGTATGTTGCATCTCTAATTTAGTTGCAGCAATTGCTGTTTATTTTTGAAAATTAAATTTTTTTAAAAATTATAATTGTACACATTTGAGCATTATCTTCGTATTTATTTACACTTTAAAAACTCCTTGAAAAAGTTTTTTGCAATAACAGGACCCTATTTGCACAAATTCACAAAATCAGGATTGAAAGAATGTGACTCAACGTTTATTTTATATTCGCAAACTATGAGTAATTTTTTCACAATTTTACAAAAACAGGACCTTTTACAAAATGTCTGGACAGATCCCTGATTACAACAAATAATAAAGAAGTATCAGCAAAATTGGAGAATCACCACCATTGTATACACGTGTCTCCATTATAGCAGTCAAAAGTATAGATTTACACTTAATACATTTTTTTCCCTTCCAAAACACCAGAGAAAATAGAAGAAACTACAAATAACCAGCACAAATGTTAAGATAAGAATTATAAGAACAGAGCGCACAGCCAAATCTTCCAACAAAAAATAAGCACCTTTTAAGTACTTTTTAAGCCCTAAAAATATTTTTAAGCGCTATACACATTAATAATTTTCAAAGACTTTACATGATCATGATAAAATAACTAGTTTCTGACAAAGAACTATTTTCTTGATTATATTAACTATTACAAAATGATCAAGAGATTTTTCGTTCAATGTCAGAGGATGGAAAATGAAGCCTGAAATCGAGAATATCATGCAAAATGTAGCAAAGTTGCACCATGCAGGTACAATGATCTCACCAAACCCAGCTCAAACCAGCACCTGCAGAATCTAAAGTACTTAACCACACATGCAAAAAGATTTTCGGTTTCACACGCCATGGACGGAATGTAAGCCAAAATGGATTGTGGTTGAATGAATTGTTATAGCGTTGAACTGAACAATGTGAAAAGCGCGCTTTTGCATAATGCATGGCAAAAATCGACAAAGAAATGATTCTCATTTTTGAAAAGGGAAACTTTTTAAAAATACCCAATAAAAAAGCACCTGTAAGGGCTTTTACAAAACCTTTATTAGTACCTTTAAGCAATTTTTGAAAATGTTAGGCAGCACAAAGAATAGTTTGAATTTAAACTAATACAGGGTGATAAATAAATAACTCAGGTAGAGAAGTTTAACAATAAATATTTTCATCGCAACAATCAGCAACTCTTTTTGTACTATGTCAGCAGTTCTCAAACTTTTTACTGTCACAGAGCATTTCAGAAACATTATGCAAAGCATTAAATATTAACTTGTAGTTATATACTGCATTTAACAATAAATAAATAAAAATTCTATAAAGCACGAGAAATGAGAGTCACGTAGAAAAAAAAAGGATTTAAGGATAAAAGGCTAAGCGAGGGATTAAGCACATCGTTAACAAGAATGTGCAAAATTTAAGAATTTATATTTATGAAGCTCTGTAAAAAATTCATCGGGATATGTTTCTGAATCGGAGAAGTCAAAGAATCAACAGTCTTGAGATCTGCAAAATTCCTCAAATTAGGAGCAATATTACGTGCACTATTCCTAGTTTTAAAACCCAAAAGGAGAATTAAGAAAACCTTGGATTCCCAGTGAAAAATCTGGCATGATTGTGAGCCCAACTCAAAAATCCTGAAAATTTCTTGAGTAAAGCCATTAACGACACATTTCAAAAAATTAATATCATTATAAATTTATGTCAATGACATTTTCAAAACATGAAATTCTAAATAAATTATATGCAGCATAATTTAAATGAATGATTATGTATATGTTTACTTTTACCTCTAATCACATTTATTATTCTACGAAAAAAAATATTTAGAAATGAAAGAGATGCCAAGTATAAATTCTAGTTCTAATATTTTTAAATAAAATATACAAGAATTTTTATGCATAAATGTGATCGATAATTTCTTGAAACTTCTGGATCGCGGTCAGAATCATCTCTGTACAACAGGAATACAAACATCTTTGAATTGATTTAATTTGTTTAAAAATAAAATTTCACAAAAACAGTGATAAATTAGGATTACAATGAGCTTATTAAACATAAAAGTCTTTGAGGAAATTTATACAATAATATAAGAAATGTGCACTAAAAAGAAACCTTACCCGTCAATGTTCCTCGAATAACGAAGATAGCATTAATTTTAGGATTATCCCTGTAACCCTAGAAAAAAAAAAGAATTTTTTTACTCATTTATTCATTGAGTAGAACTTAAATTCATTGAATAATAATTCCACACAAATAATGCATAACAAAAGGCCCTTAGGCCATTTTTGGACCACAGAATCTTGCAGATTGGCAACTTTACACACTTTAATACTAAAATAAAAAAGTTCATAAATTAATATATATATAAATATATATAAGGAATTGAAAAAGCAAATTAGCCTAATATTTTGTAGTAGAGTGCATATTAACTGCACTCTGATCAACCTAATTGCCCAATAAACTGGATAATTCAAGGATCAAGTATTTTTCCCCATATATTTTGTTAAAAATGTTTTGTATTTTTTATTTATGAAAATACATCTTTACCTTCAGATTGTCTTAAGTCAGTCAAAAAAGTGCTTTTTTTTAAAAAAAAATCCATTGGAAGTACAATGTGTGTATGTAACATTTTTTAAACAACTACAATTGCTAGTTTTATATTTAAGAAACATTGCAATAGTATATTGTTGCTATACTGTTTTCAAATTGTCCAATCTGGATTATTTATTAACCAGACTATCTACCGTCCTAAACAGTCTACAGCATGGGTGTCAAAACCATGACCGTTTGAGGGCTACATAGCAAAGAGAAAAAATTTGCTGGGTCACATACAATACTTTTTCAAAAAATTGAAATAAAAATTAACTCTATGTAGTTTTATTAAAATAAATTAACATAGTTTTACTATTAATTTTTTAAAATTTGAATTAGATACTAGAAATTCATATTCATATTATATAAGGACTATATATATATCATATCATAATATATATAGATATATAATTCATATTAGAAAATATGAACTATAGGTACATATTTATTTTAAAAATTTGTAAAAGTTTCGTTTAATTTAGTTTTGATTTCATAAAAATGGAAAAAATTCAAGTTAATTCGATGGATAAATTTGCTTTTGTTGAACAAGCAAATCGATATCGAGTTCAGCAGACAAGGTTGCAATTCTTAATGCATTTTCACGATGTTTGTCAGCGATCTTTGTGTGACTTTTTTTTTTGTATGCTTCATTCTTGAAAATAATTGTTCACAAATATAGGTACTGCCGGAAGCTGAATTTGATTCAAGAATTAGGAAATCAAAATACAATGCAATATACCGCAAACAAATATTGTAATTCTTAAAAAAATTCGCTGTCGAGTGGACACACACATAATTCGAAACGTAAATTCTCATGACATACTAAGATGGGCGTAACGGTCAGGTTCTGGTTTTCATATTAAAAATAATAAGGGTAGACCAGAACCTGACTGTTGTGCTCTAAGATGTTTTTATTTCAAAATAAATGTAAGCGAATCGATTATATATAAAAAATATTGCAAACATTAATTTAAATACTTTCATGATTTGCAATTGGGCCGCACTTCAGACAAGTATGCTCTAGATCAGTGGTGGCGAACCTTTATACACCAAAGTGCCAGTTTTTCCAAAAAAATTGTTCAATGAGGTCAAAACGTGCCGTCAAATAATTTTGACTTCGTGATTATTGGAAAAATAATACTAAATACTATCAAATCAAAACTCTTTATTTACATTGAAAAAAAAACAAAAACATTTTGCCATGTCTTAAAACAACTTAAAGTAACAACTGAGTGACTTCTGTTGTTGCAGATTAGCATTAATTGTTAATTTTTTTATTAATAATTGTTTATTTTGTTCGTTTTTGTGAATTTTAATTTAATTGTTTCATATGCTTCATAGTGTAATAACATTTGTGTAATAAAAATTCATAGTGTAATAACAATTGTGATCGTTGGCGTGCCCAAAATATTGTGTCTCGTGCCATTGGTTCGCCATCCCTGGTCTAGATTATCAGCGCCCTTTTTTTTTTTTTAATCACAAAATCAATTGGAGGAATCTTACAAGAAAAAGAAAATACATAGTTCAGGCCAATAGAAAAACCCTTTCTATGGAGACACACAATTTCTTCATTTAAATAAATAAAGAAAAGCATTCCTGCAACAGCCAGTAATTGTTAAGGCTGTAACAAGCTATAGATGTGAAAGCAACATAATTTTGTGACAAAGAATAATGGCTGCAGTGTGGTCAGCTTCGAGTGACAATCACCTTTCCTTCTCAGACAAGCTACAATAGTATCAAGCAGTCACTGAGGATAGAACTTTAGTTTTTCCCTATGATAGATAATTCCGAGTTTTAACCACTGCATGAGTGTAGCTTAGTAATTAAAAGCAAAAATGGAAAAGGAAAAAAAGGTTAAAAAAGAAAATGAAAATTAATAGTCTGCCTTTCAAATCTAAATTTTTTAAAATCCACCAAAAATAATATTTCAATTTAACTAAAATAAGCTGTAGCATGGAGAACAATAAATATTTAACAAGTAATGAATAATAAATTTATTAACAGAACAAGTTTAGGAAATTTTTCTAATGTCACTTTTTGAACATAAGCATAATTGAAAAGTTTTTAAAATGTTTAAAAGTTTTTAAGACCTCTGAAATGCATTGAATTTTAAGTGTTTTAATATTTCTATAATAACAAAATAATTTTTATGACATAAAATTAAAAGGATTAGAGAATTTTTTTATCAGGTATTAAAAATTTATTATTTTAACTAAAATTCTGATTGTTAATAGTTTTTTGAAATTTTATAAGTACTTATTTGTTTTTACACAATCTTCATATTTTCTTTTATTAATTTTAAAAATATCTGTTGATCTGTTTCAAAATTATGACCTTAAACAAGAAAATAAGCGAAATGTACTAAATTAATCAGTTGAGATTATACAAACTTTTCCCTTATATCTTTAATCAGTCAGAATGATAAATTAAAAAAAACTTAGTCGGGATTAGAAACAAGTGATTCAAATTGAGAAATTTCTTAAGAATTTCAAAGCATGAAGACTTTCAAGGTTTAAAGAGCTGCAGTTTCCCCCTAGAATTTAATATTTTCCAGAGGAATTTTCAAATTTCCTACGAACTTAAGGTTTCACAATAGCATTAAAAAAAATTTCATAGAAAAATTTAAGACTGAACTTATTTTTTGACCAATTAACACAGTCTAGCGTAATTTAGAGGAATTTTTCAGAAATTTATGCCTTACTTTCGATGAGAATGGCCCACCTATCATACCAATGATTATTTTTTTTTAAAAAAACCATATATTTTTCAGCAAAAAGCGAATAAATAAAAAATAACCTTGTGTATTTTTTTAAACCAATTGCTGAATTTCTTTTTCTTAGAGCCCTTCTTACTTCAACTTATTTTACACTTGATCATCATCAATGCTTAGTCCTAGATCTATAAATTTGATATTTTAAAAAATAACCTTTGCCCAGTATTTCAAAATAATAGGGTGAAAAATACAAACTCAAGCAGATAGTGGGGAAAGTAGTTATTGACCATGTCAACCTTCATATATGTAAAGGTACCCCTACACAGAATTGAGTCTTATATACTTGTGAATTGGAATTGTTTATTGGTAGTGGTTACTACACTACAGTACATCCCCCACCAGAATTTTATCTGTGATAGAATTCGATGGACGGGATTCCACTAGTTGATTCATTACCGTTTAAGTGAGAAGCCAGGAGAGCTGCATTAAGATCACCGTAGTTTTGAGTGCTGATTGTGAGAGCTGTATTAAGTTCAAAGCCGTTGTCGCTCTCGTGCTGCCATTAGCAGTCGAGTGTATACAGGACGACAATGTGTGATCGAGATTGAGTAGCAACAGCGTCAGGAGGTGGATAATGCCACAGTCACAAGTCAACTGTTCAATGGGGACTATCCATTAAAGTAGGCATGTTCAAATCGAAGTAGGAGTTTCTGTTAAGATAGGCATGTTCTATGCACGTCCAGGTCACCAATGTGGGGAGAGTTGTTTTCGACAATGTCAATCTTCATCTATGAAAAGGTTCCCTTACATAGAATCGTGTTAACATGTCTTACATACTTGTGAATTGGAAATGTGTATTTGTAGTGGTAGATACATTACACAGAACCAACAATATTAATTGAAATTCTGTCAATCCTATTCTTTCATTGTGGCGTCATCATTACTTGATCTTGCAATAATTATGAAAAACAACAATGTTTTCATAAAAAGTCATAAAAGTATTTATTTCTTTTAACATAAAATAATTGTTAAATTATTTTTTAAAGAAAAAGGAAAAAATAATTTGCAAATGAAAACTTAATTTGAAAAACGAATTGAAAATAAATATTTATTGGAGAATGGAAAATCAGTTCATTTTAGTCCTCAGCACTGAAGGGTGGTGCCAAAGTATTCACAAATTCTCTGAGAGTTTCCCAGTCGCATTTTCAAATGGAATAAAGTAAAGCCTGAACATCCACAGAATAAGAACCTTCCCCAGTGTCTAAGCACAAAATGATGGTAGAAAAGTGACAAATAAACATGGGTTATGTGGTTTAATCGGAAAGGGGTGAGGAGTAAGCTTGAATAAGATAATGAAAGGGAGAAAGAAACAGGTGCGAGGGAGTTGGACAAGTGCACAAGATGTCAAACTTAAATTAGAATAGATTTTTGAACACTGGGGAAGGATTGATGACTAGAAAAATCATCAACTGAATTATTAGAATTTTCAAAATACGGAAAGATCCCCAATAATCAAGATCAGAAGATAGAGAACAATGTTGAAGGATTTCAGCAGAAAAAAAATCTAAGATTAGAATATCAACTATGTATGATCATGGAAGATTGTTGAATATCCTGATTTTGGACAAATTTTCCTAAAGTAAAAATTTAACGGTGAACTTAGTTTGTCCAATATATGAAAGACCATATTAACAAGAAATTAGTTGGAGTATGTATAGTTTGTCTATGTTAAAAACTCCGCCCATCACAAAGTCTGCTGCCATGGAAACAAGAATAGCACATTTCAGGGAGGGCAGCTTTTCTTCACTTTGGGGCTAACACAATAGATCAAAGAAAAAGATCTCGTTGATCCAAGACAAAACCTGTCCTAAACAATGATCCCATACCCCTATACCTCTTCACCACAGTCAGGGGACAGACAGCTAGAGGAGTTCTTACTTTAGACAAACTAAACCTTCAGAGAGATTTAAAATTACATAAATTCTCACCTTAATGAATTCAACTCTTATTTTTCCATCATGTTCTGACTCTTCTTCATTAACTATAAGCTTATTTCCTTTCACAGTGAATGGTATAAGTTCATCATGTGCAACTCCTTTTCCCACTTTAGCAAAGATATCTAAATCAGACACAACAGTATGCACACCATTCAGTGTCACATCAAATACCTGCAATATATCATTAAGCTTGAATAAAAACAACTATTTATTCAGTGACAAATAAGTAAGTTATTAAATATTTTAGTCAGAAATATCAGTATATAATTTTTTATATACTGATATGTCTTATGTTCTTTCTACATAATATTCAGCATTTTTCATTTTTTTTTAAATGTAAGTTAAGTAAAAAACTTTTCTTGTAGAAAGATTTTTCCTTTGTGAAGTAAAATAATTTTTTTTTTTCCTGCGGAAATTATCGACACATTTTATCTTATCTTCAGAATTATATTCAAAAGATGCCTATCTCACGCATCTGAGTGGGAAAAAATGCTTATGATTTTTTGATTCTCATTTGAGAATAATGAAAAACAAAGAAGTAAAAAATTTAGTTTTCTTTTCTGATGAATTCTATTTTTTAATGCATTTATTACTATTGATTTTCACATAGTTTTTAAAATCCAATATTTGTAATACAATATAATTTATTACAACAACCAATTCTTAAAATGAAAACACACACCCTTTTTGAAGAGTCCAACTTGCGTGATTTCGCTGTCAATACTCCCCTCCCCAGTAGTTATAGCTACAGATTTCACGATTTTTTTTAATGTGATGATATACAAAATGCGAAAAAGGAAATAATTAGTGTGTTTTCTCCCAACAAAATGGGAGAATATTGTCCTTAATATTAGAATAAAAATAATATTAGGTACTTACTTAAATTTTTTTTAAAGTATTTTATCTGAAAAGTTTTCTTTTTTGAAGTTGACTCTTTTGTTACTTTAAATTAGTAACAGGTGTATTTGTTATTATTAAAAGTATCGAGCAGAAAGATATTAGTACTGGAAAGGTATTTTACAAAAAGCCAGAAAAAATCCTGCCACAGGGCATATATGAATCCCTTAATTAACTGTTTCCACAGTTGCAACTCAAATCTAGAAAAAAAAGATCCCTGTGCTTTCCCTGTATATATTATACACAATATATCAAGAGGAAACACAAAATAACTGTACAAATGTGTGAGCTATATTATTATGCCTATTACTAAATTTAATTGTTGGAAAAACTTAAAGAACAGTTCAACATATAGGAAAAAATATTAATGCAGCAAATGAAGTAGTATAGTATAGCTAAACTATATTTAAATAATCCATAATTTGCACTTTGAGTGTTCAACACTTTGTAAAAGATAAAATAAAAATTCCCTGTATTTTCTCAGTTCATAAAGAAAAATTCAAAACTCTCACTTATTTTAGACAATTTTTTAATTCCTTTTATTTTCCAGGTTTCCTTCGTGGAGTGGCGACTCTGGTTTCATAGTTCGGAAATTTTCACCTTATAATAATACCTTTCTCACTGAATAAGAAACTGTTTTTTCTTCCTATTTTTGCTAGAAAACAATGGGTGAAAATACGTCTAGTTCAGTGATGAATTTTTAATGACTATAATTGCTTCAGTAAATAATTCAATAATAGTGCATCTGTGAATTTATTTTTAAATTACTACATTTTGTTCCTACATTTAACTAATGTTTCTCAAATTAGGCAAATGTGAAGGGAGGTTTCCGTGACTATCTAATATTAATCTGTATTCTACAGTGAGTGAAAAAGGTAAAAATGTCTATATTTCATTAGCAGGCTTTGAAGTGGTACAAAATAACAAAGACTACACTTTATAAAAAAATAATAAAATCAAGAATTTTTTTGGTACAATACACACACTAGACTATTTTTAACAAGAGGAAATGAAAAGCTATAAAAATATTAGTCCAGAGTTTTGAAAATTTCGGTTACTACGGCAGATTTCATTAACTCAGGGTAGGGATCTGTCTAGGTTTTTCTGAGAGGTACCTATTTTGTGAAAATTTAGACATAATTTGTGAAAATTAATAATTTAACACAAAAATATGGTAAAAATATGAATTTATCGTTTTTTTACAGGATACAAAAATAAAATTTTAAGAAAGTATTTTGTGAAACTATTGTTTTTCCTAAAGTTGAATTAGTGAAGATACCGCTAAATGGCAGTAAATTTGGCCTAGACAGATCCCTGTTACTATACGCAACCTTATAAAAAATAAATATTTTAACTAATTTTAAAAATAGAAAGGTATCAAACTTTTGGTGCATAAAAAAAATGGATTTCTTCGGAAATATTTAATGTTAACTTGAAATATGTTTTAGTGAGATTTAAAATTATTTCTATTACAATACAATTGAATAAATATTATATTCAAAAATTTATAAATTAAATAATAAAATGGAGAGATTTTCGTATCCTGATCTTAATAGCCAAATCTTGACAACTTTCGGGCAGCGGCCCATAAGAAACTAAAAAAAAAAAAAAAACATCACAGAAATGGACCAACTGAAAAGGTGTAATTCGTAAGTTTAAAATCTATTTGGCGATTGTAGTCGACAAATAAGGATATGGAATATCCCCAATAAAATATCCAAGGCAAAATATATAAGATTGCTTTACAGCAAAATACAAACCTAAAATATTTTAGTTTATTATTCAGGGTGCATAGCCAGATTTTTCAACAAAAAATAAGCACTGAAAAATATTTTTTATCACTTTCCAAAAAAATCATTAATAGGATCTGTGCAGTAATAAAAATATTTTTTTTTCTATCGTTTTAAGTTCTTCATTTATATACGTAAAATCAATTAAATTTAAAATCTTTACATAATCAAGATAAAATAACTAGTTTCTGATAAATATTGAAGAGAAAATTGTGAAAATTATGCATTTTTTGTAATTTAGAATAAAAATCGACACAGCAAAGAAAAATCTCTTTTTAAAAGATAGATAAATAAGGCTTTTTAAAAACGTAAATCAAAAATAAGCACCTTTATGCACTTTTTAAAAACGCTACACACCCTGTTAGTTATGTTATTGTTTGATTCAATGCAACACTATTCCAATAGGTTTTTTCCATAGTTTATTTACACTGTCCTGGGAATAATATTTTTTGCCTACAAAATTACCTGTTTTTTAGCCCGCAAAAATACCTGTGACTGTATTTTTTAATTAGACAAACATTTGAAAAAAAGGTTGACTGCATTTTAAATGCATTACAAATCTGGTGTTGATGATTTTAATACCTTCATCCCTGGTGATGAAAAGTAAACCTCACAAAATTTCAGCACTAAAACATAATCTCCGTCACGATTAACAGGAATTTCATAACCAAACGTTGCATGGTGATATCTCTCCGTCTGATATAATATTTGGTCCGTTCTTGGGACTCTGCTGATAATTAATTGTTTTCCGTAATCAGACGCAGTTCCGATTCTACCATGTAATGGATCTCTTCGATAATGTATACCGTCTGAATCAACATGAGATTCACCACCTGCGTTAATTGCATAAATCACATCACCTAAACAAATCACACAATCACAGATTATACACAGTGCTAATGCTAAAGTTAATGATAATCTCCTATCCCATGATCGAATCACAGCCATATCGAAATATTATGAAAGCATTTGCATATTATTCATTGAAAAATAACAGCTTTATCACCAATTTTAGAGAACTTCCAACATTACACGATCGCAGTATTTTATTATTTTTTTTCTCCGAAAAACAAACCGGTCAACACAGTTACAGTGAATTATATCTGAATATTAAAACAAGTGTTGTTTATTTGGAACTTTTTAAATTGGGTTAGCAATATGCAGTAGATTGTTAAATATACAAAGATGAGTAGCTCGTAGCTGATTGTTGTGGCAATAAATTTGTTGTTTGTCTGTGTGTTAAGCCTTATGTCAAAGTATCAAAAACAAACAGTAAACAAAGTATATTTATTCTTATCAGTTAGTAAGTTATGTTTTGATTTATAAGTGCTAAAATTTCTTTCCATTTTTCTTATTCTTAAATGTGTTTTTATGATGATTAATATGTAATTTTCTTACTTGACATGTACAGTTAATTATTTTAAATAAATAGACGAATAAGAAGTGTTATTTTTTGCTGTTTCTACGTAAGTTCTCTTCAAAAGAATATTAAATAAATATAATTTTTTTTTGCTCATACTCATAGTAGGAAAAACGTAACTGGTAATAGGTTCTGAAAAAAAAAACATCACAGAAAGGGACCAACTCGAAAGGTATAACTTGTAACAAATTTAAGCTCATAACAAGTTTTTTTTTTTTTTAAATTTGCACGTTTAAAATCTATTTGGCGACTGTAGTTGGCGTAACAAATCTAACTAAGAAAATATCCCAACTCTATAATTGATTGATGATTTGAAATTTTATAGGTAATTATATTTATGACTAATTTATATTAACTATTAATTATTTATGCACTAAACTTTTAATTTTTTAGCAATTGTTTCAGTCTAAAAAGGGTTTTCGACATGCCTTGGACATTAGGGGACAGGGACAGGGATTTTTGATCTTAAAACCCTCTATTGTCCGAAACTTGCCAAACCTAGACTTATCTGGGTTACAGTTCACTTGCTGTCAGACTTGCTGTTGGAGATTACTATGTAACGCAAATGCGGGTTAGTTCCATCTAAAAGTCCTCCACAAGAGCAAATTTCTTCTAATACTTGATCCAGTAGTTCCCTTGTGATCTGGATTGGGTTCGAAATTACAAGGCTATAGAGTTGAACATTGGTAGTCGAAATCCCAAAAAATTGGGTTTGCTGTTTAACAATGGTTATAAAAGAAAAGAAAATCGCCAAAATGCTTAATTTAAGCTTGTTATTTTTTTTTTTAAAAAAGCAAGCCCATTTGTCTTTTGAGTTTGTCCTTTTCTGTGATGTTTTTTTAAATTTTTTTTAAAGTTTCTCGAGGGCCGCTGCCGGGAATTTGCCAAGACTCAGTGATTAAGCAGCCCCAGTTCACAATACGGAGATCTCTCCACTTATCCATTTTCGTAAAAATAGTAATTTCAAAGTGTAATACAAATAGAATCTGTTTTTATGGTTTTGTTTAAAATCAATGTAACCAAACGAGCAACTTGTTCTGTATTTGTGAAAAATGTATTTGTAATTTTCTGAATCTAAAATTAATGTAAAATTCTGCCAGGGTTGAAATACTATAGTATTTCACATATAGTAGAGCAGGACATTGCATGTGAAAAAAATACTATGTTTTTCTATGAGTTACATTTTTAAAATTATAAATTATGTCCATGACTCTGTGGTTCATAGAAAAAAATTTGTAAAAGATCCATTTGCAAAATAAAAAATATATATTGCATCAAGTCCATTTTGTACTTTGGGATTATCCCGTCGATCTTGCAACATTCGTGAAAAATGTGCAAATCCTTTAGTGCCATCACAGGCTATGAGTGCACACTTCCCTCATATAATTGTTCCAATCAACAATTGTCTTTCCTATCAAATCCAGCTGTTTTTCTTCCCATTCAATTCATGTTAATTCTTGCAACCAGTAGTAAATAAGCCGGTGGGCAGTCAGGAACGGGAGTTTTGAGCCCTCCAATCAAGGGCCTTTCGAATAGCTACTCGTTTATCACACCCCTTTACATTGCTTATTGTGGACATTGCACACTTTTTTTTGGGAGAAATTATCCGATCCTCTTAAAAATATGCCGCTGCACTGCCTTCAATGCTAGGCAAATCCAAAATTTGAATAATTTTACAACAGGGTAAAAAAACAACAACAGTGTATTTAAACAGGCTAGACAAAACTTATTCGCATAGTCAAGGAATACACAGTAAACATAATAACCTTTTCGGTTATTGGTATAGGACTCATAGGAGCTATCTTATAGCAGGGTTTCAAAAAACCCACCTACCCAGTAAAACCCACCCTAAAGTGGGTTTTTCTAAAATTGATTTCTTCTTTATGTTCTGTTATATTAAAGAGCTATTCTATTGAAATATATTTGTAGTCTAGCTTAAAAAAAGAACCCATGGAAGAAAAACTAATAGCAATTTAAAAAGAAAATTATTTGTGGAATTCATGAAGAAAAATGTATAGGTTTCGTATTAAAAAAAAAACAGAATAATCTGACTATAAATCATTCTACAATAAAAGTTATTTCATAAGGATTTTAATTCAAAATAAACACAGACAGAGGAAAAACATAAATCGATTAGGTTATCAGTGTTATACTTCTTCAATCTTAAATACTTATGTATTTTAACGCTTTTTGTACACCCAGTCTATTTCTCAATTTTGACCAAACCAGTCCACGTGTAGAAAATACTTGTTCCAGTGATGTCGAACTAGCTGGATATTTGCCTAGGGCAACCATAAAGTTGCAAAAATCTGTCATGTCTCTATCATTAACATGTATTTCAACCAATTTCCACTACTGCAGTGTTTCCTAAAGTGTGGTACCCGTACCCCCAAGGGTACAGGCACAGTTTAGCCGTGCGCGTTCTTATGGGAAATATCTTGTAACAAACGAAAATTTAAATTTTTTATTTATTTAAAAACAAAGCAAGCTATGAAAATTTACGATTACATATTTTTCTATTGGTTATTTTTAGCAGAGTTAACAGTTAATAATTAGTGGTGTCAACAGCCAGTAACTTTTACTTTTGTGCAATTTTTTTTCTTGTTAAAAATACATTTATTTTTTATTAGTGGTACACACCGTTACGAAATATTTAGAAAGGGTATGCAAAAGTCATAAGTTTGGGAAACACTGCACTACTGTGATGTACTGATTGTACATTCAGACTTTTGCACCAATTTGTTTGTATTAATTAAAAATTACACTTTAATTACCTATTGTTAAGTTAATTCATAAAATTAAACTTAATTATTAATCTAAGCTTATTTAAAATAAGGTACTTATCCTTACCCTCTCTTTTGAAGAGATAAAACATGAAAAAGCCCAAAAACCCCACCCAGGTTGAGTATTTCTGGAAAAACCCAAGTTTTTTGCAACCTTGCTTTATAGCAAAAATGATGGACGGGATAATACCAAAGTACGAAAATGGCCGAAGATATAATCCCAAAGTATACTGTCCATTTTTAAGATAAAATATTTTGTAAAGACGAATTGAAAAAAAATATTTTTTATTGAAAAAAAAGCTTTTTTTTTCTTCCAACTTGCCTTTTTTAACAGTCAGTTCATAATGAAAATTTTATATTCTACCTTAATACAACTGATTAATAAAGTTGGTTTAATTGTTCTTATTTTTTTCAGTTACCTAATTTATAAGATGAATATGTTACCGAATGCATCCTACTCGGGTGCAGGTGAACATTTATTCAAGTCAGAAGAGTTCAGTGATTTGACTATAATTGTTAAGAGTAATAATGGAGGTCGTTGGCGTTTTCCTGCTCATAAGTTGATTTTGTCTTCTCAAAGTCCCGTGTTTCGACTTATGCTAGAAAATGAATTCTGCGAAAGAAAGAACGGAGAAGTTGTCATTGAAGATATTGAACCTCACATTGTGGAAATGTTGCTAATGTAAGAAATTTTTATTAATGATATGAACAGAGTTGATGCAATTTAAATCCATTGATTTAACTTTTAAATCATTGATTTGAATGAAATGTGTATTTTTCTAAAAAAATCACTAATTTACACCGTCTGAAAAAAAGTATTAATAAGGGGTGATTGTATTCTGGGTGTAGCCCGGAATTCCATTTTTTCCATGATGCGTAGCTTTTTTAAAAAATGTTCTTAACTATGCTTTTTTTTCGGTTCGACCCTTAAAAGTGGTTTTTTATTGAGTGCTTTTAAAAAGTGCTTAATTTTCTGTTTTTGAAAATGAGTTTTTTTTCTTTATTATGTCGATTTTCGCCACACATTAGGCGAAAGCGTAGTTTTCTCATTTTTCTTTTCAGCGTTTTCACAATTCATTCTACCATAGTCCATTTTGCCATACCATCCGTCCATAGCGTGTGAAAGCGAAAATCATTTTACTTGTTTGATGTAATTCTTGGGAGTTCGCGTGTGTGTCGCATGAGCCGAGTTCGGTGATATTCCTGCATTTTCATGTGCAACTCTGCTGCATTTTGCAAGATATTCACAATTTCAGGGTTCATTTTCCACCCTCTGATATCGAACCGAAAAATCTCTTGATCATTTTATAATGGCTAATATAATCAAGAAAAGAGTTCTTTGTCAGAAATTAGTTATTTTATCATGATCATGTGAAGTCTTTGGATTTTGTTAAATAGTAACGTTATAGTTTGTTAATGTAAATAAGTAGTTTGTAAATAAGTACTTAAAAATATTTTTTGAGTGATTATAAAAGTACTCAAAAGGTGCTTATTCAGGGCTCCCACAATCCTTAAAAGTCCTTAAAGACTGCTTAATTTTTATTTTGGAAAATAACGGCCGTTAAAAGTATTTAATTTTGGTTTAATGTTTTCAAAAGTCCTTTATTTTTTAGTATCACTATGGTTGATGGAGCAATTTTTCAGTTCAATATTTTAAAACAAAAAGTCGTTCGTTTATCTTTTAGAATTAGACTGCATCGAGGGTAAAGCATTTTGGAGGGACAAATATTAATGTGTGTGTGTGTGGGGGGGGGGAATACGGACAAGGCGACGATTTTATTAATATATTCTGGTTCTTTTATTAATATATTCTGCCCTTTGCCTAGAATGACACTCTATGAGGAGAGTGAAGCATTCTAAAAGAAAAGAATAGTGTGGACAAGGGGAATACTGCACATGGAAGAGATAGTGCTTTTTTTTTGGCCCCTGATCATTAAAATCTAGACGTCCGAATATAGGTCCCTCGATGCATGTTCATATAGGAAAAATATTGAACCCTATGGGGGCCAAGGTGAAATAATTGTTGCTAGGGTTGTTTAGTATTTATGTTTACAATAGGTATGAAGTCGTTTGCCTCGTTTCAATATCTAAATTTATTATATTTATTTTGCAGGTATGTTTACTGTGGTAAATCAGTTCTTGAAAATTGGCTTGACGCTCGAGATTTATTATGCGCCGCCCACAAATATCAAATAGATCCCTTGGTTAATTATTGTGCCCGCTTTCTGGAGAGCGTCATCACCATCAATAATGTGTGTAACATCTACAACGACGCTTGTTTGTATTCGCTGATATCCCTCAAAGAAAAAGCACTGAAGCTGATATTAGACGCTGGTTTCATTTTACTCAGAAGCAAGTCGTTTGAAAGACTCAGTTGCGAGGCCGTCATGGAAATAATCACCAGCCGCGAACTGAACATCGACAGCGAGCTCATGGTGTTCGAAGCCTTGTTGAGGTGGGCCCCGATACAGTGTTGCCGATTAAATATCCCGGTGAGCGAAGAAAACATTTTAAAAGAGTTGACACCATTCTTGAAGTACGTGTGTTTCGACGACATGTCGGATACGGAAAAGAGCGCTCTGCCGTCTGCCGTTCTGTCCTGCGTCAAGCCGAACAACCGGAACCGGGTCACCTACCACGTCAACGATTCTTTGCTGAGCTACTCTTATTTTTTCAATTTCCATACCGAACAGTTGGGGCCCTGTTTGGAAGACCAATTGAATTGCATGCGTTTTTCCTTGGATACTTCGAAATATTTGCTCGGATTGAAGTTCATTGTCATCGTGCCTCACATTCCCGAACACTTGACGCTTGTCCTCGTGAAAGAATGCGCCAGCACCTCGTACAATGCCGTCATCGTGAATTTGGCCCGTGCAGTTTGGAAAGAAGCTCTGCAGGTGAATGACTGCATGCGGTGGGAAACAAAAGTCCTCCTCCGCCAACCCTGTGCCATCGAGAAATGCAGTGTGTTCAAATTGTACATAGAGACGAACATTCCCAATCTCATTGTTCCTAAGACAAGTTTAATCAACAAGTCGTTGTCTACAGACTGTGGTGTTGTTAATCTTTCCCTTCACAGTGATTCGATTTGGGGTATTAAAAATCTTATTTTCATTTAATAATTTATTTGAGCTACATAATTGTGTTCCTGTGGACATTTTTTTTTTGTTGAAATCATTAATAACTGAAAGTTAGCTTCAAGTACTGCACCAGGACATTGAATTAATAACATAATTGATATTAAGACAGATGCTTCTTAACCCATTCAGGGATTGTTGTACTCAAGGGGTACCTGACACAAAAACTATGTGTTGCAATTCGTATTCACATGGTTTGAAAATCGTGCATCGCAATTTCTTTTCACATGGTTTTAAAAATCCAATATTGCTATTTGCATTATTGTGTTTTTAAAATCCGATATCACAATTCATACTCGTGCGAGTTTTAAATCTAAGGCTGAGATTCATATTCACGTGTTTTAAATATCTAAGACCGAGATTCATATTCACACGTTTTGAAAATCCGATATTGCAATTCGTATTCACACGTTTGTGATATCAAACATTGTGATATTTTTATACATGACTTAAAACCTACACATTGCAATTCGTATTTACGTGATCTAGGGATTCGTATTTGAATGATTTAAGAATTCAATATTGCTAGTTGTATTTTCACATTTTTTAAAATCCAATATCACGATTCATACTCGTGCGAATTTAAAGTCTAATATCGCGATTCTTGTTAGAAGTAAGCTTCTTGAACTACTTACTCTAAAGGTGTGATATATTTTGCGTTAGAAGGTAATTTAGTTATAAATGTTAGTTTAAAAAATTATATTGCATTTGAAATATTTATGGTATAAAAATTTTCAGAGTTTTTCACTTAGTGCCACAATTACCCCTGCCCATTTTGGCCAAGCATTGAAATTTTATAAAATGTGATATTGTTTTCATTGAAATATGCTTACATTAAACTAGTTGAGACACAAAAAAATTTTGTGTATGAAAAATTATATTTTATTTAAGAAATAAAATTATGTGTATTGGCCCTGTGGCAGAATTTTTTCTGGTTTTCTGCCACAAACTTCCCTAGCACTAATATTTTGCTTTAAGATACTTTTAATTATAGCAATTACTAATTTAAAATAATAGATACATTGTGTTTACAGAATAAATTATAAAATAAAAATGAATTTTAAAAGTTATATATTTTTATTTCTAATATTATAGGCGATATTCCTGAATTTTGTAGGCGGAAAAAATGCACTAATCACTTCCTCTTTCGAATTTTGTGAATCATCACAAATTAAAATTCATAAATACATTAAACAATAATAATAAGTTCAAATTCGTACATAAATTAAAAATCGTAAAGTCTGCGCAGCGACTCACAAAATCAAGATTGACTCCTAAATCACGTGAGTAAGACTGTTTAAAAAATAAATACTCAAATATATGTATGTAAAACATGATGTTCTTTAAAGAAAAAATGAAAGCAAGAACATCATTTCCAGATCGAAATATCATATAAACTTTTGCGAACTATTTTTAATTTTATATTATTAATTAGAAATTCTAGCTGAAGCCAGTCATTACCGATTTTTTTCAAAAATCTCAGGTGAGAAACGAAAAGGAAAAAAAATCGAAAAATAATGCAGAAAAGAAGACCAAACTTTTTCCCTTCCCGAATGAAAAATTCTTCTGCAAAATTGTAACGTTCTGTGACAATGTTGCCATGGGCGTATAGGCACCATTCAAGTCAGTGAGCAAACCATTTAGTTGTTTTTTTTTTAATAAAATTTGTTGTATAATTTTTTTTTATTTACTAACTTGTAACTTTAATCTCTCATAAAAACATATGATAAATCTCAAAATGAATAACTATACATTTTCAAAAAGCATCATTTGTCAATAACTGTTTTAAGTTAAAAAACTTGAGTAGATATTTCTCAACAGAAAGTGTTTACATCCAATTGAATTATAAATAATTTATCGATGTCTTAAGAACCCCTGACTACAGCAAAGAAATAAAATTAGTGAAAAATATACGTTACAGTGTTAATAAAAACATATTTATTGAAATGGTGTAGTTGCGCAAGCTTGGTCGAAAATGGGTTAATCAGTAGGACACACAGTCAAGTCTTCCTACATATTCTTAGCATGCCACCTGATAAGACTTAATTCTAATTCTAAAGTACTGGAGAGCCTGCAAAAGAATGAAAAAATCTTCTACGGAAGACCCACTGTGAGCTGTTGTGCCACCAATGATGATGATGAATCGTTGAGGTTAAAAACAAATTTGGATTTATGAAGATATTGCTGCAGATCTCCATAAATTCTGCTCTCTACGTCATAAAATTAAAAAAAAGAGTTCATTTATTTTTAATGCTGTTTAATTTTTAAGAAAATAATCTCATTTAAAAATAGAATAATTCATATTATTTTGCCAGGTTGAAAGAATGCAATATATTTATGTTAAATTTGGTTCGTATACAGATATTTAAAGCCGTATATATGCAGCTTTATAATATGTCTTAACAAAAAAAAGTTTTTTTTTTTTTTTTTAAAGAAGTGTTCTGGTACCTCAAATTAATAAACACTTTTTAACTCTGCATAGATTGCGGGGTTAACCTAAAGTATTTTGCAGGTTTAAAAGCACTGTATAGAGAGATTTACCACCTACAAAGCTGGGTTACATGCGTCAGAATACATACACTCACTAAGTTAAAAAAAATTCATCTCATACAGTAATATGATGTTTGGTATATTGTATTTTCTTTAAGTTGTTATACGTAAATTATAAAATTGTATTAGTTTTGTTTATTTATGTAGTTTGAATGTTTTATTAATTATACTGTCTCCATTAAGTTTCATCACATATAAATTATAAAATTATACTTGTTTATTTATGTTTGGGATACAGCATCTTCATTAAGTTTATCATTTTTAAATTATAAAATTGTATCAGTTATGTATATTTTGTTTCGAATACATTTTCTTCATAAAGTTTATTTTATAAAATTTATCAGTTGTGTTCATTTATCTTTAGTATAGAGTACTTTAGAAAACTACTCACGATATAATTTACTGTGCATAAGCTGCAAGTATATAGAAATTATAAAATAAGTTAAAAATATAGAGAAAACATGGGAAACATTAAAGATTGTGAAAAGAAAATACGAAAAATTGTTTTTAAAAAAAAGTACATTAAAAAGCGGGAAAATGAATGAGTTTTAAATGAGTTGTGTTGTATTTTTCAAAATTTTTTTGTTTTTTAAAGCAGAAGGCTACGCATAGACTATTTCAGTAATATTTGGTTCTAATGCTACAATCGATTTTAAATAAGAATAATTAATATTTGCTATAATGAACTACGTAGAGAAAGTAATTGAACTCTCAATTTCTTTTTGTTTATAAACTCTCATACTTATTCTGATACTGAATTTTCTTTGGCCTCTTTTTTTTGCTTTTATTTACGATGTGAATCACATTTAATTTAAATCAAACACTAATTTACGTAAATTTAAATATGCGTAAAATTTCCTTATTAAGTAATAATTGTTTGAAATTTAAAATTTTATTGAAATTAGGACAATTATATTAATAAAATTTATTACGTAAAATTTATCTTTTTCAAAAGGAACAAAAAGTCAAACATATTTTTAATTGCTGTTTAACTTTACTTGTAATAACGCTGTAAGTAAAAACGAAAATAGAACGTTTTTATAAATTTCGAGAATACAGTAAGAATGCTGTATGAACAATGGCGGACTAAGGCTAAAGCCGGCTTTAGGCAACATTATAATTCCGGGTTAAACTGTGCTACCGTAAAGTGCTCAACTTCGTGTGCAGGTCGTTGAGCTACCTAAGCGGGGGTGCCATCCCCTCTGCAGAGGATCAAAATTGTGATGGCATGTCTTCGGACCATCCTCAGCGATGTTTTCCAGAACGTCGCCAATAGCTCATTGTGCAGCTCTAGTGCGACGTAAATGAACAAACCAAACCTACTACAAGTGGAATTCGCAATTTTAATTTTATAATTCGAATACATCAGGAAGTTGAGAAATCCAAAGAAAAACCTGTGTTTTGCACCTAACACAAAGAGTAAATTAAAAACAATTAGAATATTTTAAATTGTCTTATATTGTTAGTGTCCCGCAGTGGACTGATCGTTAAGACACGGTTCACCGAAGTCAAGCATCACTGGCTGCGGGTGGGTGACCACTCGGATCAGTCTGCGTAGGGACTGAGGGTGTGCGGTATTGGTCCTCGTTAAACTGTGCTACCGTAAAGTGCTCAACTTCGCGTGCAGGTCGTTGAGCTACCGAAGCGGGGGTGCCATCCCCTCTGCAGAGGATCAAAATTGTGATGGCATGTCTTCGGATCATCCTCAG